GTTGCAGGCTGAGTCATTTTTGCGTTCTCCTCTCTGTCATGTGGATGGAGGACCTCAGTGACGACCACCCTGTGTGGTTCTGACATTTAACAGTCTGTTCGTTAAATTTGATAATCTCACACCAAGCTCAGATAAAACCTTGAGAGCCCTGTGTGTGAATGTTCACTCACATGGGGTTTGCAATGACACGTGAACATGTTTTCATGTGATTTGTCTGTCAGTATAACCCACAGAATATCCGCTATCCTCTTCTGCTAACCTTCTTCATCGTCCCACTCCAAGTCCAGGGAGGTGCCATCATCATTGGTGGAGCGGGTCTTTGTAGTAAAATCCCAGCTGTACTCTGTGCTAGGGGTCACTGTGTTTGTGGCAGAGGGCAGTCCTGCTAAGAGGCAAATAATTACTGGGCTGCCAAACCTGGAAATCTCCTTTTAAAGTAGTTTACATAGAAATTAATAATATAAAAAATATTTAAAATATAAAATAATCATTATCTAGGTATATACATATAAATATATACAGTATATGCCTAAAACAGCTATATTAGTGCATCCTAAATTTTTTCATATTAATATTTTAATAGTTGTTTAGAAAAATGTTTTTGTGGAGGCCACCTCCCAATATATATCATTTAGGAAAATCAAACTACTCATTTTTACTCAGTACTTAGTTAGTACGAATACTAACACAGTAAGTGWTTCATGTGTATTTAAGGATCATTCATTTTTGTTTTCTAGCAGGTAAGTGCAACAAATGTTGATRACAAACTCGCACCTGTATTACTAAATCCAGAAAAGAAATCCTAATTTATTTTGAAGGGACTTTACAATCATCTGACATCCGGTTTCTTCTGAATATGAACCATTTGTGGGTCTTTCTGCAGCAGTGAAGACACGCAATGTCTCTGCAGATCAGGAGGGAGGCTGATGATGAGAGGAATCAGTTTGCTCTCATTTCAGAGGCCATCAGTGCCTGCCAGACCAGTTCTGTTCAAACTTTTTTGTAGGCCACTTAAAGAAAACCCCGCATTCTTTAGTATCGTATTCAGAAGAGAATCATGACTTGAATTTTAGCTCAAATTAAATAGGTCAGCAATAAATAATTCAAGTGCAAAAAAATAATAATTAAAGCACGAATATTATACTATTTAAAAGCAAAAATACTAGGATGTTTATTTCTGTCAACACAAATCAACACAAATCAACACAAATCAACGACACGTCCCATGAGTTTATTGTGTTGGGATATTTCATTTACACAGATGTACGTCCCATGAGTTTATTGTGTTGGGATATTTCATTTACACAGATGTTTAAAACGAGCATAAATCTATACAGATATAAAAAAAACAAAAAGAGTGCATTCCCTGACCGGGAATCGAACCCGGGCCGCGGCGGTGAGAGCGCCGAATCCTAACCACTAGACCACCAGGGAGAGATATAGAGCTCACAGGATACGTCAAATTTTTACGTACGCAAGACCGGCTGTGTTTTGGCCTTTTGATACGAAGTGTCATGTCATTTCCTGTCGGTAGCGGAAAAATTAAAAGCTGTGCAACTGTGTAACTGACCTATAATCACAAACTGCACGCTTTTACTGTAATTCACCGATTAATCTCATTTTATCGTAAGTTACGCTAATTTACGCAATTAGTTCTTAACGCTCGTAATTCAACGTAGCACACCCGGAGTAGTAGGCCCACCATAATTCACTACATGAACTGTTACTGGTTGCCTAATTTCACAGTGAGTAACCGGAGGTAGTTGGCTACTACCTAACCCAGCGTATCTTTATTCCGTGGGTTAGCCTCTATAATTGCGACGGTAAGTAAAAAAAAACGAGTTACGCAATATTTTCATGAGCGCCTTCTTTCAACATGATTCATCATCTCAGATAGAGTTTATCAGCTGTACGACCTCGTGGCGCAACGGTAGCGCGTCTGACTCCAGATCAGAAGGTTGCGTGTTCAAATCACGTCGGGGTCATTACATTTTGCTTTAATT